TAGGTCGTCGAGGTATCAATTTTTTTCGCTATCGTTATGCCCCCAAGCCCCAGAAGGCGTATGACTGACCGAAAGAAGTGTTTTTCTTGAATTTGAATCACCATAGATCATTGAATTGACGGTTGAATTTTCCACAATATATTTGGTAGGCCACATGATACATGATAGTAGATTTCAATCAAACTCTCCTCATATCGGGGCATGATTGAAGTTTTGGGTTCGCTTAGGTCAACACCATCAACGGGATCTGAAACCGGGCTATGCGTATTAATTACAACCGTTCATAATTCCATCCACTTACTGAATAAACGTATAAATTGTCAATATATCTTACAAAAGAAATTGAGTCATCTTAAGTTATTTAATATACTTCAAGGATTGAGATTTTAACATCATGTTGGGGGCTCTGATGAGGTCACATCCAGGTCGAAAAGGCAGTCCAAACGAAATAAGAAATCCTTTTGCGCGGTAAGATCGACATCTCGATTCCTACTCATAATATCTCGAGAGATTTAAGTAACAGTTATGGTTTGCCTTAAATTTATTTTAATTTTTTATTATCCCTATAGATTAATATATGGTATAATTATAAGTCATAGGTTGTTTCATAAAATCTGATTGAATCTTTACAAATTTAAAATTACATTTAATTTACCTTGCCTGACTCGATATTTTTTCAAGTTCTACGGAAATTCTCTCAATCTACTTACTAAGTAAAGAGTAGCATTGCCTATATATGCATTTTATGTTTATCTGACGAAATGACTGTTTTTTTTCGGTGAATGCCTCTCGTCACCGCAAGGCAAATGGAACTACGAAAAGCTAGCTCGAGACGCCTTTTTCAACGTGGCCTGTATGCTTTTTGAAAGTCTCCTCTACGAGACCCGAGCCCATGTCGGCGGCTATGGGCTCTTCGTAGACGCGGCCGAGGTCACTTGGGCGCAGATCTGTTCATTGGGCAACCTACGCGATGTTTCAATGCTCATGAATCTGTTTCAGGTAAGTGAGAAAATGTGAAAGTATGAGTTTAATGCCCATTTTTTAAATCTGCCTCGTTCGAGACCACGTCGGTCTACCCTCGACTGGCCTGTCGGAGATCGAAGCGCGGGAATCAACATTAACCAACGGCAATCGGAGTCACTATGAAACTCCGAAGCCAACAGCACCTCCCTCCGCCTGTCATGGAACCAGTGTTTTTATCGCCCTCCACACCACACGATAACATTGACCTTCTTGAGGGAGTAGCTTGACAACAATTCTCATCTTATATTTCGTTTTCAAAGGTGATTTGGAAGGATTCAGAAATTGGCCACATCAGAAACCGAAAGTAGTCTGCTTTTAACTTGTAAATGCGAAATTTCTTCCACAAAAGGTTTGGAATACCCATTCTGCGACCCAGATGAATGCGTGTTGAGTTATCGTCTGTACCGCGGTGACGGGCATCGGCAAAGCAAGAAACCAGTATCTACGACAATTCGCCAAAGCACTAGACCAGGAAATATGTATATACAAAGAGTAACTGGGCATTGACCAATTCTTAGCTCAAGATTGTGGTGTTAGCTCTCATCTCGTGTAGAAACGCCTGATAGAGGGATTCCTAAATAGATCCCACTAGAAGACGACTATTAGTTCCTATCACTCTACAGTCGCTTGATTTTACTATGAGATTTATGTTGAGGCTGTCCATAAGACGTTCTCCTGTGGTTAGGGTGAAAAGAGGCTGAGCTATTTCCGTTAAGCGACGTTCTGGAAATCATCAGAGCTCGATCTCATTGTTGTCGAAGCTTCAAGTTACCATGACGTCAAGAAGATAATCTGGCTTTTTCCTGCATGATATATATATATACCCATAACTAAGAACGAAAAAATATATTTGTGGATAGATATAAATCATCTAGCTGGTTGTCTTTCATATCCATCTAGATACTTAGATGTCTTGGCGTTGGAGTGAGACTGAATCTCACGTCCACGGATGCAAATACGCATGCACACATACGCAAGTACAGTAGAGCCCAAAAGTCGGAGTCAACCAATAAGAAACGTGATTATTTAATTATATGCAAAAAAATAATGCAATTTTTAAAGAATAAATTTTTTATAGATAACATAAATGAATATTTTCGGTTTAAGTAGTTTTGGGTTAAGTTAAAAATTTACCTAAATATCGTGATGATACCAAATGTGATACCGCTTTTTAAATGTTCGTCAAGGCACATAATTAATTCAAATGGTTGCATGTGCCCCTTACATACACTTTTTGAACTGTATTCGTCCTTCAACAACCTATATTTGGAGTGTGATGAATTAATGTGAACCTCTAAAGTTACTATCGCTACTGTTAGACAATCACTGAAAATGATGAAAGAATATTTTTAAGTTGTTTGTGATAATCTAAAAGAAAATCAGTGAGGAAATACGAGGCCAAACTATTATCCAGAGTCCCAAAAAACTACCCCTGAGCAAAATCGCAGCAACATTGAAAGTTTCTAATGCAACAGTAGAACACACACACAAAGTTTTTTCACAAGCAAACTCATTTATAGCAAAAGTAAGATAAGACAGACCTAAAGTGACCACAACTTCTGAAGACAAGTACATCAAGTTTACTTCATTAAAAAATATCTGTATCCAAGATACAAAGGGTACTGAACAAATAGCGCTCAATTCAAGCCAGTAGAATGTAAGATTGCCAATTTATGCACCGATTAAAGCCGAAAAAAGAGGACAATTGTAAGTAAATCATGCAATTTGACCTCTCTAAATTGCTGCAAACGTTATTGTATAGCTCCCAAGTTCTGTATCATGATGAAGAGGTATCATTCGGACACAGTGAACAAAAATCTGTATCACACCCCTACTCAGAAATTAGAAGAAAGCTACAAGACTAAGAGGGATTTTATAAGTTCATATATTAAGTCTAAATTTAGGAAGGGTTTAGACAGGGTTCTCATTCAGGACGACTTTCAAAACCTCCAGAATATGACTGACCAGAGGTCCCAGAGGGTCTGAGATAGGAGTAATGAATTGAAGTTGCTTAAATTTAGGATAATAAGGCAGCGCAAGCTTTGGCCATCCCGACTAAATAATGATGCCCCCAGATTAATGGTATCCACTGCTCCAAGAGAAAATTGAAATAGGGTAGTGAATTAATCAGAATTATCTCTTGTTTCCGAAACAATGGATATCCTGAAGAAAGGGTTAATTTTTTAACTAGGTAACGAGGAGAAGATTTTAGATAATATTCTTGTAGAAGCTATCAACATATCGGAGAAATTCCCAGAAGTTACCAAATGAGAGATGAAAATGGAATTAAGATCGCGAATCTTGGCACATCAGAATCTAATAAAAGGGAGTGAATTGATTAAGATACGCAGAAAACTACT